CAGTGAGCTGAGATCGGGCCACTGCACTCCAGCCTGGGCGACAGAGAGAGACTCCGTCTCTAAATAAATAAATAAATAAATAAATAAATAAATGCAGCAATAGCCTTTGGGTTCCACCCAGGTTAACCTGGAGGTGGGAGTTTTTGCATAGTGAGTGAAGGCCAACAATTGGGCCTGTCTTTTGTCTCTCTTTTCTTCCCTTTGATCTCTATGTGCCTTTTCCACTCTGTCTTGGTAACTAAAGACACCAAAAGTTATGTTTAGCAGTTAATTTATTGGGACTTGGGAATTTATGACTAGTTTTGTGACTTTTTCCTGGTATCTGGAACAGACTAATGAAGTAGGTCTCTAAGAGGATTTGGTTGTTTCTCTATGTTACCTGAGACAGGGAGATACAGACAGTGAGCGTAGGTTGCTTTTTGTTTTAGGTGGGCAATAGGATACCCTGCTATGAGTTGTTCCAGCAGGACTGGACTCTTCAGGGAGTGTTTGGTGAACAAACTGATATGGGTGGGGTGCAGAAGACTGTGTGTCAAGTGAGGAAAGACTACTAGGAGTACAAGCTTAAGAGGTTTGAAGAGTAATCCTCGACTAGATCGTAAGGGAGGAAAGTTGTTGGTAGGAGGTACTTTTCTTTTTTTTTTTTCAGACAGAGTCTCACTCATCACCCAGGTAGGAGTGCAGTGGTGTGATCTCAGCTCACTGCAACCTCCGCCTCCTGGACTCAAGCAATTTTCCTGCCTCAGCCGCCTAAGTAGCTGGGATTACAGGCCTGCGCCACCACACCCGACTAATTTTTGTAATTTTAGTAGAGACAGGGTTTCACCATGTTGGCCAGGCTGGTCTCAAACTCCTGACCTCAAGTGATCCACCCCCCTTGGCCTCCCAAAGGGCCACTGCTGCACCCAGCTGGTATATTTCTTATTATAGAGTCATTAATTATGTTAGTTTTTTTTTTTGAGACAGAGTCTTGCTGTGTCGCCCAGGCTGGAGATGCAATCTTGGCTCACTATAACCTCTGCCTCCCGGGTTCAAGTGATTCTTTTGCTTCAGCCTCCTGAGTAGCTGGGATTACAGGTCCAAGCCACCATGCCCAGTCAATTTTTGTATTTTTAGTAGAGATGGGGTTTCACCGTGTTGGTCAGGATGGTCTCAAACTCCTCACTTCATGATCCACCTGCTTTAGGCTCCCGAGGTGCTGGGATTACAGGAGTGAGCCACTGCGCTCGGCCTCCTGAATTATTTTGAATAACATGAGCATAACATATTCGGTATCAGTCTTTAAGAGACTTGTCTTAGTATAGAGGTGTCTGGTTAGTAATGGGAATAACGTCAGGTTACCCCTGGGCCCTTGGGGAATCCCTGATCATCCTTTTTTTTTTTTTTTTTTTTTTTTGAGATGGAGTCTCTCTCTCTCTTGTCCAGCCTAGAGTGCAGTGGCTCAATCTCGGCTCACCGCAACCTCTGCCTCCCAGGTTCAAGTGATTCTCCTGCCTCGGCCTCCTAAGTAGCTGGGACTACAGGAGCATGCCACCATGCCCAGCTAATTTTTGTATTTGTAGTAGAGATGGGGTTTCACCATATTGGCCAGGCTGGTCTCAAACTCCTGATCTCGTGATCTGCCTGCCTTGGCCTCCCAAAGTGCTGGGATTACAGGCATGAGCCACTGCACCCATCCTTCCTTTCTTTCTATTAAAAAACAAACAAACAAACAAACAAACAAACCTCTAATTGTAAAACAGTATTGTTTGGGCCCATGCACTGTTGAAAAGACCTAATCATGGAACATTCATTTATCTTTTTTTTCAGGTAACAGCCAACCTTATATGTGCCTTTAATGTTTTAATTTTGGCCTTAAAATAACAGCTTAGGACATGTAAGTAGCTATGTCCATTAGGCTTTCTAGGTCTGGGGGGGGTGAGGATCCTACTGCACAGCCTGGACCCCGAAGCCCTGCCAACTTCACAAGCCTCCTGTCGGGAGGGCCACGTGAACTAGAATCTACTTGGTGTGGACTTTGAAGTCCTCACCTCTGCTTGTCACCCATCAGGCCATGAGGATGAACCGATAAATCAGCCCGAAGAGAGCAAAGTCACAGTGGGTGAGGAGAATTGTTATGGAGATTTTATAAGTGAGAATGAGAGGAAAGGGAGAGACTCGGGTGATGGAAAAAAAACCTTACAGCCTTAAAATGGTGAGGATCGTATCAAGAGTTTAATTCTTTGGCCCATTGTTATTTCTTTATTTTCTATTTTTTTGAGACGAAGTTTCGCCTCTTTTTGCCAGGCTGGAAGTGCAATGGTATAAATCCTCGGCTTACTCGCACCTCCACCCTTCCCTGGGTTCAAGTGATTCTCCTGCCTCAGCCTCCCGACGTAGCTGGGGATTACGGGAATGCGCCACCATGCCCGGTTAATTTTGTATTCTTAATAGGTCGGGGTCAGGCTGGTCCTCGAAAATCTTGGTCAGCGCTGGTCTCGAAATGTTGGCTCAAGGCTGGGTCTCGAAATCCAACCTCAGGTGGATCTGCCCACCCGGCTCCCAAAAAGTGCTGAGATTACAGGTGTTAGCCTGTACCGGCCTTATTATCTTTTCACTTATCCTCGTTTCACCTCCTCTCTTTCTCCCTCTCCTATAAGAAGGTGTTTCAGCTCGCGCTCGAGGAACGCGCTCGCGCCTCTCTAGGTACCGCGCTCTGCAACAGAAACATGTACCAATAATCCAGGAAGGTCATATGCAATCCCCGTGAGCTGAGCTGGACCACCGATGGGAGTCCGGTGTTCCTTGAATCCCCATGAAACCTGAGGCCTAGGAGGTCATGGGCTTTGCCATGCACCATTCTAGGTCTCCTGGTGCTGGACATCTCCAAGCTGAACTGAAGTGGGTTTCCTTGCTGCCCGCGGACGGGCCTGGATGTCTCGCCAAACAAGCCTTCTTATTTCACTATCTGCCATCTTTTTCAATGTCCGTCATCATGCTTGGAATGCCTAGTTGTAGTCCCCACTGCACGACACATCCATGTGGCCACACTCGTGACACTTCAACATGGATGGCCTCTCTTGGAACGTCTCCTGAAAGGAGGCTCGGAACACACACAGCTGGAGGGATGGCGCAACGTGCTGGCAAAAAGTAGATCTATGTGGTCCCTCAAGGTGAACAAAAATTTTGCAGACTGCTCTCGTTGACTTAACAAACAAGTGCTGGGGCGCAGTGGCCTCACGCCCTGTAATCAGCACTTTGGGAGGCTGAGGCGGCAGATCAAACGAGGTCATGGAGTTCGTGACCAGCGGGCACATGGTGAAACCCTGTCACGTACTAAAAATAACAAATTAGCCGGCGCGCGTGGTGGTGCACGCCTGTAATCCAGCTACTTGGGACAGGGCTTGAGGCAGGAGAATTGCTTGCGGCCGTGAGGCGGAGGGTCTGCAGTGAGCGAGATTGAGCCCTGCACTCCAGCTGGGGCCACCAGCGCGCTGAGACTCTGTCCGAAAACAAACAAAACAAAAAAAAAAGTTACAGTAGCCCAAACTAAGTATTGATCAGGCCCAGTCCTGGGAGGGCCAAGTAAAACAACAGGTGCAAACAGAAGCAGCAAGCAGTTCAAGGCTTCAATACTCCGGGTGTTCCTCCAAGCTTAATGTACAACCTTGCAAAAACACAGCCAAATGGAAAGCAGTCACAATTCAG